TTCTTCCCCCCTTGGTGATTCGGCACCGGACTCGGCAAGTTGATCTACAATGCCCAAGTCCGTAGGCGAATCTCCAGGTTACGGTATTATGCCAGCCGCAGGCTCTGTTCTGAGTGCTTCCATTTCTTCCCCCCTTGGTGATTCGGCACCGGGCTCGGCAAGTTGATCTACAATGCCCAAGTCCGTAGGCGAATCTCCAGGTTGCGGTATTATGCCGGCCTCAGGCTCTGTGCTGAGTGGTTCCACTTCTTCCCCCCCTTTGTGATGCGGTACCGGATAGAGCAGGTTGGACGGTGATTCCTAATTCCATAATCGCATCACCGTGCGGTGGATTTGTACAAACTGAGGGTGTGCCGGAAGGGCGCGCTAAGTCCGCGTCGCCAGCTCTACCAAGTTGTCGTGTCTCGGTCGTGCTTGCGTTCACCTCATCATCTGCCACGGCAATGTCGACCGGGCACACCAGATGATTTCCAGGTGAGAATTCCGCAACGAAATCGGCCAAGGTCTGGGCTTTTATAGCAATGCGCGGCTGGAACTTGACATCAAATTGACCCAATTCGACAACCCACTTAAGAATTCGGCCAGAGAAGTCTGCCCGTTCAAACAAGGCCTTAAGGGGGAATTCCGTCAGAACGATGACGATATGGGCGTGAAAATAGTGCGCCAACTTCTTTGAAGCCATCATCAATGCTAACGCAAGCTTTTCCAACGGCAAGTATCTCGACTCTGCCGGTAGCAAGGTCTTACTGACGTAGAAGATTGGAAGGTGCTTAATTCCTTCAGCTCGGACAAGCACCGCATTGACGGCATGCTGTGAGACGGCAAGGTAAAGATAGAGTTCCTCGCCTGGCTTTGGTGTAACCAACAGTGGCGGAGAAGACATATACTCCTTGAGCTCGGCCAAAGCCCGGTCACAATCTTCGTCCCACGAGAACTTTGATTTCAATGCCTGAAAGAAAGGGCGGCAGCAATCTGATGACCAGCTTATAAATCGATTAAGCGCGGCGGCCATCCCGGCCAGATGCTGCACGTCCTTAGTCGAGCTGGGCTGCTTCAAATCTTGCACGGCACTGATCTGAGTGGGGTCTGCTTCGATGCCTCGGTTCGTGACTAGGAATCCCAAAAATTTTTCGGATCCCACGCCAAAGGCACACTTAGACGTATTCAGACGCAGCTTGTGTTTTTTGAGAATGGCGAACATTTCGGCCAAGTCGGATAAGTGGTCTCCTGCATACCGGCTTTTAACCACCATATCATCAATGTAGGCCTCCATTGTCCGCCCAAGCAAAGGAGCAAACATCTTGGTCACCATCCTCCGAAAAGTTGCCCCGGCGTTCTTCAAACCAAAAGGCATGACTCAGTAGCAGAAGAGTCTCCTTGGAGTCGTGAATGAAGTAATCTCTCGGTCGGACCCATGCATGGCAATCTGGTGGTAGCCGTGATAGGCATCCAAGAAGCTAAGCCGATTATGTCCAGCCGTCAAGTCCACATGCTGGTCAATATGGGGCAAAGGGAAGCTATCCTTCGGACAAGCTCGGTTAACTGTCTTGTAATCGACACAAACGCGTCACTTCCCATTCTTCTTGGGCACCACTACTGTGTTGGAAATCCACCGAGGGTAGTGCACTTCCTGAATTGCTCGTGCCTCAAGCAAGTTCTTCACCTCCTCTGCAACTACCTCGGCGTGATGCAGTGCCGATCTCCTTGTTCGCTGGATGACTGGCTTTGCTCCGGGAAAGACATTGAGGTGATGGCAGATAAAACTTGGATCAAGGCCGGGCATATCGTAAGGCGACCATGCGAAGACTTCGATGTTAGTCATCAAAAACTCAACCATCTCGGTCCTTTCTTGGGCCGTGAGGCTGGAACCGAGCAGGAAGAACTTATCCGGCCGCTCCATATCAACTCGCACCTCCACCAATTCCTCAACAGCTTTGCCCTCTGCCTTGGTGCCCACATCGTCAAGAACTCCCCGGTCTTCTGGGTCTTCTATCATTTGAACGAAGCCTTTGGCAGCCCGGCTCCCGTTCACTACCACGAAGCATTGTTTGGACATGACTTGATCTCCCCAAATCTCCTCGATTGCCCCCATAGCCGAGGAGAATCTCATCACCTGATGGTAGGTCGACGCTACGGCTTGCATGGCGTGAAGCCATCCCCTTCCAAGGATTAGATTGTAAGTAGAAGAAACTTGTAACACCCAGAACTCCACTTGCTTGACCACGGATCCTGCTTTGACCGGCAGGATAATCTTCTCCAAAGGCCACTCCGATTGTGAGTTGAAACCAACCAGTGGCGAAGTTGCCGGAGCCAAGTCTGTCTCCCGGAGCCAAGTCTGTCTCCCGGAGCTTGAGCTGCTTGAACGCGTTGTAATACATGATCTCGACCGAGCTTCCTTGATCGATCAAGATCCGTTTGACATCGAATTCTTTGACGCGGAGTGTTACTACTAAAGCATCGTTGTGTGGCGTCTGAATACGCTCTGGATCCCTTGAGGTGAAACTAATCACATCTTTCTCTACCGTCTTCCCCCTCTTGATGGCAGGCTGTACCGACAAAACCTCTCTCATATGTTCTGCCTTTTTGATCATACCCCGGAGTTCGCAAACACGCTCTGGTTCCACTATGCCGTGGATGACATTAATAACTCCTTGTGGTGGCGCATCTCGGTCATCCTGTACCCTGGGCTCAACCGGAGCCTAGTTCGCCTTTACGCCCCCATCAATGTAAAGGTCTAGGTGTCCGGCCGCGACTAGCTCTTCCAGGTGTTGCCTCAAAGGCAAACAATCCTCAGTCTGGTGGCCTCGCTCCCGATGAAATGTGCAACGATACCGCGGATTGTAGCCTTTTTGTCCATCGCCCAACTTAGCAGGAAATCGGACATACTCCTCGTCTCAGATTTCACTAAGTATGCGATAGATTGGAATCTTGAAGACCGTGGTTATGCCAGTCCTTGCCTTCAACCTTCTGTTTGCCTCCGCTACGTCATCTCGGGGGCAGTCATCCCGGTCATTCCGACGTCCTCTACCCCGATTTTTGCGATTCGAGCCACGGTTCGATTCCTCTGCTCGGTCACTTGAGCGGCTGGACTCTTGCCCAACTGCGTGCACTTTGCCTGCTATCTTCTTGTCTGTTGCTACCGGAGTTGCCTTCACCGTAGATGCTGACGCATCATCCTCGACTCGGATGTGCTCATTGATGCGCTGCATGAGCTGGCCCATGGACGTCAGTTGGTGCATGGTAAGCGAGTCCCGCAGTATATGTCCGACCGGGAGACCACGCTTGTATTGAGTGATTGCAAGGTTGACCAGGCAATCCAAGATCTCGTTGAAGGTCTCCCAATATCTGGAATTGTACGCCTTCAATGTGTCGCTTGGTTCCATCTTGACATTCAGTAGGTGATCAACTTCTTTTGGTGTTGTGGTGTTGGTTTTGCAGCGCGTGACAAAGGCTTCGGCCAACTGATGCCACCTCTCAATACTCCCCTCCGGCAGCCTTTCAAACCACTTCAAGCCCAGTTCGTCCAACTTGACTGAAAGATGAGGCACATAAGAGCATCATTCCGCCTATGTCCGGCCATGACCTGTCGGAAATGACTTACATACATGTAGGGATCGGTCTTCCCGTCGTACAATGTGAACTTCGGCTGGTGGAAGCCCGACGGGAGAGGTGTTGTTTCTATTTCCAGGGAGAAAGGGGTGGCACTCAACCTTGCCAGATCTGAATCCACCAGGAGTGGCGCTGCTTGGTGGGGTGGAAGCATTCCGACCTCCTCGCTGGCGTGAACCCCATAGGATAACTGTTGGAACGCCGGTATCCTTTGAGCTTCCCGCCGGTGACCCCGCTCCTTTAAGACCGCCCGCAAATCCTCTGAATGAGCGGAGTAAGAGTACCTCGACGTCGTCACTGGACGTGAGGGCTGGTAAGTGTTATCTTGCGCGCTAGACTTCTCTGCATGCACGTCGGAATCACCAACCTTGTAACTTCTGGTAATAGAAATGGACGGAGTGCGTCGCTGACTCTGACCGCCTGAACGGCAGGGTTGGGTGCGCTCACTGTGGTCTCCCACTCTAGCTACACCCTTCCCTTTTTCATGCCGCTTCAGCTCCTCCATCTCCGCCGCCATTCGCCGGATGACGGCGTCCTGGTCCTTCAGCTTATTTTCCAGACGTCTGGCGTGTGGGTTTCTCCTCCGCCGGTGACCGTTTAGACTCCATGAATGACCATGACTTCTTCCGCACTTATCCCGCGCGTCTCCCATCTGTCCTCCCGAGAATGTCTCCAAGTCCCCCATCGGAGGAATGGTGGGGTGTCCCTCTCTCCGTCTGCCTGACTCTGGAGTGGCTCCATCGATGGCGGACAGCGGAATCTCTTCGTTGTTCGCCACAGAAAGCGATCGGATGAGCAAGGAAGACAAGGTTTTATTTGCAAAGCTTCCCACAGACGGCGCCAATTGTACGGGGAGCAAATATTCGGGCAAGCCCGTACTCCCTTCTTCCAAGCTCCGCTTCTATCCGATCACTTGCGTACACAAAGGCGGTGAGCTACCCGGCGGTGTGTGGCCAGAAAACCCCTCCGACGGTCAAGTTAGAACACACACCAGGGGATAGATAGAGAGAAGGAAGAGAATTGTGTTTAGGTGTTTCTCTTACCAAATGTACATCCCCAGCGTATGGGGGGCGCAGACATGCTTATATACCTTCTGCGCCCCAAATCTACTCCCAGTGACCTCTCAACACGTGGCACTGCTATCCTATCTGTCAGCATAAACCTTGCTGAGCACCACCTAACCCAACTGCCTGCCCATTCTCCTAGGAGCTCGGCAGCCAAGCAGTATCATCTCGGCCATCGTCTGCCATGCTGCACTTCATGCCCAAGTACTCCAACAGCTAAGCTCAGATGAGGACCGGACTCGGCGACATCTCGGCAAAGCTGAGCTTGGGGCAGCTCACGCTTGTCTGCGGTCGACCTACCTGCCGAGCAAACAGTTACCTCGGTCCAACCTTGCCTTTCCTGACGTTGGACTTTTCACCTGACCGGCTTCGTAACCACGGATCCTTGCAGCTCGATCAATTCACGTGTTGCCTTAACCGAGCAGCTTCCTTCAAGGCCGGGCCACACAACTTGGCCCAATTCCTGTTCGGCCCAAATCTGTCCGGCACAACTCTGTCTGGCCCAAATCTGTCTGGCCCAATTCCATATCATTAATCTCCCTCTCAGTTGTAATGCATAATTCTTGACCTTTGGAAAATGTACATATGGATTTGATTAAAATAGTTTCTACTTCCTACAATTCATCATTTCCCCAATTTCTAATTTTCCACCTATGAATATTGTTTTGTTTAAATGCTTTATTTGATAAGTTTATAATTTTGGAGGATTTACACCTTTCTATCATACCTAACTTGTTACTACCTTAGCTGCTTGACCTACATGATCATTCACTTTAAGTAAGTAGGCTCGGCATAGTTTGCGTAAAGGAATGTAATATATGATGGTATCCTCTTTCCCAACTCCTGATTATCTTTTGATGTGTTGAGCTTTGGAATCTTCATTTGAAGCCATCAAATACTGGACCTATTGATTGCATCATATGGGCGCTTGTTAAGATCTTTCTAAGAAGTTCAGGAAGGGATGAGAAGGACCATACCATTGTTATTTAAGAAAGTATCGTGGTAAAAATCTCTCTTGTAAATAGAACAAGGTATTCTCGATGAAAATCAAAGATCATGACGAATAAATTAAATTTCATGTAGATTACTAGATAGTAAAAAATGCTTCTCTATCAAAATACTGATTAAAATGTCAAGATTTGAACTTGAGAGAGTAAGAAAAATGCATGTCATTAAGTTTTGGAAATTCACAACCACATTACCTGATTCTCGATACATATCACTTAGTACTTCTCATACCATTACACCAAAACTGTTGTTGATTCGTCTCCCAATACTTCGATTTAGAACCATGATGAAGATTGTGTCAACCATTATTGGTAGAAAAACACAACTTTATAAAGAATAAACGAAAAATAAGTTTTATTTTATAATTATATTGTTTTTATGTTTGGAAATGATATGAAGATTGTACCAATTGCTCTTTTTGACCCTTCTCTTGCTCTTATTTTTAACATTCTTCAAACTGCTAATAATTAGTGGGTTGTTATTGCTGCTTTTATTGAATAATTTTCTCTAGAAAATTCATGATCAGTTAAAATGCTTTGTTCTCAGTTCCAGGTAGGAAGGTAGGACATGATAAAAGTCTGAAGCAAGCCCAAGCATTTGAACTAGTTAGATTGTTATGGAAAATGGTGATAAAGCAATATGATTCAGAGATTTCGGACTTGATCTGAAGCCCTTCACGACTTCTCCTTTGTTGCGGCAGAGCATGGAAACACCAAGTTCTTGATTGAGCTTATTGAAGGTTATCCTGATTTGATATGGAAAGTAAATAGCCAGAACCAAAGCATACTTCACCTTGCCGTTTTACATCGTCATGCAGGAATATTCAATATTTTATATGAGATAGGCTCGATTAAGGATTTAATTACTGCATATAGAGATGAAGATCGTAATAATATGTTGCATTTGGCTGCGAAGATGGCACCCCCAAATCAACTTAATATTGTGTCAGGGGCAGCTCTTCAAATGCAAAGAGAGCTACTGTGGTTTAAGGTAAACGTTTCCACATCCCATTGCCGGTGGCAATTCCATGCAGCCGGTGATGTCTCCCAGCATCCAAGGAAGCAGTCCTGAGGTTTTGGCAACCTCCAGAGGAGTGAAGGAAGGAAAACAGAGGCAGTTCACGCATGGCGGCGCATTTCCCGAGGCGATTTACTGTTTTCTTAGTTTAATTAAATTTGCTTAGTTGATTAGGCAATTTGTAATATTTAATTAGCTTGCGTAGTTAATTAATTTGTAATATTTATTTGGTCCCTCCGAGTGAGGGCAAATCTGTAATAAGTGTGTGGTTAGAGACTTAAGGTATTTTGGAGAGCTTAGACAGCCATTGTTA